TGTGCAGAAGGGAGTACATGGCAAGAGAGGAAACCAGACAGGTTGAGGCCGGACTTGCTCTTACAAGAACTGAGCAGGATTTCACAAGACTTCATTGATCTCTTCTGAGGGTGATGCCCTCCACTTCCCAATAGACCTCACCTCTTAAAAGTTTCACTACCTCCAGGTGGGCACACTGGCACATTGGAGGACAGCCATACCAAATCATAGAACAGAGTGAATACTGACATGATTAAGAGACTCATTCTGAGGTGTCATGCTGACTGTGAGCCACAAGGTAATCAAACATGGTCAACAGTTTGCATATCTGTGCAAAGTAAAATGCCACAGCCTATCAGAGATCTGCAAAAATATGTCCTGTTTTCCACTGACAACCTACATTCTGTGCAGCTATGTGAGTTACTAGGATTTACAATAGCCCCTCACTGTAAGGAACTCAAGCAGACTGGTTCACAGAGTCCTGATATGCCATTCTGGGAGCAATGTGAGCAGGAGCCTGGATGTGACATGGAGACTGAGTCATTAACCCAGAGCACTCCACGAGCAGACTGCTAATGCATTGTGTGTGCACATCTTTCATTGTCTTATATTTGCTTGCAGCTGGTTTTGAACTTGATGATGACATCAAAAACTTGCAAGTTCTTCCTAACTTGGTGGCTAACCCAGCAGGTAATATTTTCAACCCACATCCTGTTGACCTCGCTTTCCCCTGCCCACCTCTTTGCAATATGACAGTTCCTAGGGTTGAATCTGTGGTAGCAGATGTTAGAGAACATGAACCTTGAGGAAGTAATGTAAAGATAGTATAGAGGGTTGTATATGTATAGTGAATATGAACAGTCTGCAATGATTTGAGAATATTCAAAGGTCATGATTAGGCCTCTTGTTTTGTATGCTCACTAAGCAATCAATTGAATAAAGAGGGAAATACAGTATCTGTAAATACAATGGAATAAGAGGTCCCAGGCTTTCCTTTCTGCCCTTCTTATGATGTAATGAGATTGTGTCCATTCCTGAGCCTTGTGTGAGTTGGGAGTATGTGACATCTCATGCTGCAGGCTCCACAGCATCCAGCACATGCTGGTAACTTAGCAACCTTAGTGAGTAACAGAGGACCCTGCTTCTTTCTTTCTTTCAGGTGACTGGCTTGCATGGTGCAGGGCCTTCCATGCTTGACATGGCTCCCAATGCATTTGATGATCAGTATGAAGGCTGTGTCAAAGAAATGGAGGAAAGGGCCCCCCAGCTGTTACAAGAAGACTTCAACATGAATGAGGAATTAAAACTTGAGTGGCAAGAAGCAGAGAAACAATGGAATGAGATCAAAAATAGTATCAGCTATCCCAAAGGTTTCCATGATTTCCATGGAAAAGCTTTAGTTGCCTACACTGGGAAAATGCACAAAAAATTTAATAATAATACTAGAGACTTCAAAATAATTCCTGGTAGCTTCCACTACAAGGGCTTCCATTACTACTTAACAAGAGCTGTCCAGCTTTTGAGTAACCAGGGTTGCCGTTCAGTTTTCCGAGGCTCTAAGACCAAGTTTCATTACACTGGGACGGGCTCTGTGCGATTCGGGCAGTTCAGTTCTTCATCCTTATCTAAGAGTGTAGCTCTTTCTCCAGCATTTTTCAATGGAAATGGAACACTGTTTATCATCAAAACATGCTTGGGAGTTTATATCAAAAATTTTTCCCACTACCCTAAGAATGAGGAGGTGCTAATCCCAGGCTATGAAGTATATCGCCAAGTCACAACAGAAAATGTAAATGGGTATATCCAAATTTCTCTGGACTTCCCTCAAAGGAAGAAGAGCAGCTTCAATTGCTACTATAGCTACCGTAGCAGCTCAGGTAAGACTGGGTCTGTGTTAGAGGTGGAGCTGGCAGGGCATGTCATGAAAGGAAGAGAGGGTGCTCCCTACTAGGAGCCACATGATAGATCTTCCACATGTTCAGGGTGCCTGGAAGGGTCAGTTACTGGTAGCATTGGTAAGCTGAGGGCATGTGGCTCAGTGACAATGTCAGAAATATATTGAAACAGTGAGAAACTTCAGGAAAAAGCTGTTACCAGCAGCTCCTCATGATGAATGACATGTGCCATCTGCAGCTTTTTCTCCATCCTTTCAACTATAGATGCCTGTGTTTGGGAATCCCTATGCATGCTTACCCATCATGCTTTGTGGCCTGAGTTCTCTTC